TGCACAGTAACTATGCACTTTTGGGATGAGATGTTCTTTCTATTGAAAATGCTTGCATTTGGCTACTGAAGGTGGGTATACTGAAAGATTACAGTTTTTAACATGATTTAGATAGGCAAGGCTGAAATCTATCAGAAAACACAAACGCAATATGTATCTCTTCTTGCATGCACGATATTTAGAGTTCTGACAAATCATAGCAGAACCATATCCCTCAAACCAACTACTTAGCGTGTGTAGGAGTTCAGCCATGGGTATAAGGTGCATCTCTCAGGAGCTAGTACACCAGCAAGCTAAATTTGCCTGTAATCCAAGTACATAATACATCAGGTTTTTTTCCCAGCTGAGTCCATCAACAGCCAAATGCAAGAGCACTTGTGTCCTCAATGTTTCATTTGAGACTCAGCTCAAGACTCTTAACAGGCAGAATGTAGATGTATGCACCAGACGGTGAAATGTAAAAATGTAAATGTAAAGATTCAATAAGTCAGCTTTACAGCTGTCTTTTCAGTATTCTTTAGGAAACTATCCGGAGCTACATAAGTTTCCCTCCTGCTATTATGTGTAGATTTTATTTTCTTAATGCCCTCTATATACTTCCAACTATGTAGTACAACTTTTTCCAAAGAACCAAAAAATCTTCCATCTGTAGTTATACTAAAGTTTAAAGTTATAAACAAGGTCACCAATACCAGGTATAACTGCTGTCTCTCTTTTAAAGATGGTGGTAAAAAACCAGGTAATTGCCTTTAGGAAATCAATTATCTGAAAGAAAAGATTCTTCTAACCAAGACATAAATATACTAAGAAGCATCTCAGAGTCTGAATTAAGCAGACAAGGAAGATTCATAAGTCTCATTAAGAGAAACATCACAGAAATAAGCACCAGACAGCCATAAAAGACAAACTGTTAAATTGCATCTCCCAGTGTAGGGCTCTGTATGCACTTACTGCTATTCATGTTTTATAACTGCCCGAGTTAATGGATAAATCAGTTATCTAATTGTCAGCACAGGGACAGATCCTTACAGGTTGCGTCTGCCCAGATTTGTTTGCTGAAGTGATGCTAAACTCGCTTGCACAAGCTGGCAAGCTCATCACCACAAAAATTCAAGAAGACAATTCAGAATACAGCAGTTTGGCAGTCTGGGGATGCAAATACACAGTTAGGCTGGTATTTCTCTGTTTAAGTATTGAATGTTTCAATTTTTAAGGTATGCTGACAGACAGTGTCCAGAATCAAACCGAGGATGTTAATAATCAACGAAACGCCACCAGGCTCACTGCCACTTTCTTCTCTGAACGCCAGTAACAAATGCTTAAAATGCACAACAGGAATAGGCAAAAGATGCCAGTTGGATTCACAGAGCCGTACATAGTCCATCTCACCCGTTAAGCACCATAACCCGAGTGAAAAACAGGCAATAAAACAGAAGCTGTGCAGCTCAGTACCTCTGACAAACATCTCTGAAATGCTGCTTTCCCTAAGGATGCCAGGGAAACTTACAGGGAGCAGCCAAATTTGAGGTTATTGATCCATTTTCTTCCACGAGCCTGCATGTGGATTAAATCCCAGAAGCACACTGTAAAAAGCAAAACAGACTAGAGGAATGTTTGAAATCCAGCACTCCTATGAGAGCCGCCTGCCTTCTTGATAATACTGTTCTTCCTGCAACATACTGAGTTTTTAACTGTGTCTGTAAATATTTCAATGTCTTGGATAGGGTTTTTGTTCCCTAAAAACATCTGAGGATTTATTGAAATAGATATTATGATCTGTGCTAAATTGCGGCTTTGTAAGCCTAAAAATAAACTGAATTCAGAAGGGCTCAGTTCTGTTTCCAGAAAGGATTTGTTGTGATCTAAGATTTTTATATAGCTCACTAACAACTTGGAAACATCCCTTTTACAATAAAGAAGAAAAAAAAGGAAGGTAAATCTAGCAGTAAGTACAGATTAAGTTTACACAACCTGCTGACCCGCAAGGTCATGCAGGGGATTAGCTGATGTCCCGTCTATTCTCAGTCGAACCCAAAGCCTGAGCAGGAAGGTCTCCCCTCTTTGCTCCATTTCCAGCAGTCAAACTCCAAAATGAGCTCTTATCTCTCAGCAGAGGCTTGAGATGAACAGCAGGGACACCTCCTCTGCGCTGTTTCTGGGGGATGGCAGCCAGCACCCCTTCGCAGCTCAGACACGTGCTTGGCATGGGGAGAGAGGAGGTGAAAGGAAATCCCCGCATAAGGTTCTGCCTGAGAAACAGCTGCTGTGAGTTGAAGATCCCTCACCTCCTCTCCCAAACCACTCACTCTGTGTTCCCACAGCATCACAGATGTTTGCAAGCCTAAGAAAGTCACTCCCAGCCCCGAGGCTTATTGGACATTTCAAGATACTCTAGTCAAAAATTGTAGTTTCAGTAAGAAGCAAGTTCAAGTGAAAATCCAAACTGATGTCAGTTTTATAGAAAACGTTAAATGTGTGCTTTTAGAACTTAACTATCCCTTTAAAAGACAGATTGAAAAATAAAAGCTCCTAAAACATTCAGTTTGAAAGCAAGCATAACAAGGAGAATAAGTTTTCTGCCTAAGTGAGATCTTGTAGCTTTCTCTTTCTTTCATCTGCTCCTTATTGCTCTTCTTGTTGTTCTATTAGACATATCACCGTCACACAGATGTGGCACTAATCACAGGGTAGGAGTTGCCAGCTGCCTGGGAGGATAAAGCTACTCCGACATTATTCCATCAGGCATCCCACAGTGACTTAGGAGGTACAGCCATTTAGCTGACCCCTTTGTAAAGAAACAGGTGCCATGTGAGCATGCCGGGAAATTCTTTCTAATGCAGTCAGAGCCCCCGTCAATGGTTCATAGTATAAAGCAACAACTATCATTTTGCACACTGA